AACGATTCCGAAACTAAGAAAAAAAAGATATTTAATGTTTGCAGTAAATAAAGACAAAAAGACAGGACTTAGTTCGGAAAATGCCAACCAGGATTTCCACCAATACAGAGAGTGGGGCTACCTGTTTCAAACTACATTGGGTGAAGTACGATCGAGAAAATCAGAATCATTCTTAACCTCCCCTTCCTAAAACAATGAAATTTTCGGTCTTTTCAAGCTTTAGCACTGGAAGTATCGAAATTTTTGTGACGTAATCGTTACCATTGTTAAGGATTTATTAAGGTAAAATGTTTATCTTTCAGTGAGAGATCTAATCATAAAAGATTTTTTAGGTAAAAAATTAACCCATAAATCTTAGAAGCTTGCACTAGATTAATAAAGTATAATTTCGATGGTAATAGCCCACCTTCATTTGCTTTGAATTAAGTGTACATAGATCATTGGCTCTGAACTATGATTTGATTTTGTCATCCTGAATATCAAATCATTATGATTTGTATCATTGGTATTTGTATCATTGGTATTATTAGTATTACTATCACATTCATTATCCTCAGTTTCATCACTCTCATTGATATTATTACTACTATTGTTATTTTATTCTGCTTAGTACCTTTTTTCCTTGATTAGTAATAATTTATATATACATTTCCATACACTAAATCATACGTACATTATATGTGTGTGGGCGAGTGTGTGAACACAGCTTAGAAACCTTTCATACTTTACTATTTGTATGTCGACATATAAACATACATATGTATATATGAAGGATTTACATACATACATCTCTTTCTCTCTATATATATACTTATATATATTCATATATGTGTGTGTGCGTGTAAGATATATAGGGCACAGTGAAATAGATAAATAAAGATATAGATATATTTACTGGATATTCTTGTCAAAAATGTCAGCATACGTAAAGAAAAGTAAATAAATAAAACGTATTTTGATTAGTAGAACAACCGCTTCGAACATTTATAAACGCACATATGCATACATATGTGTGTGTGTGTGTGTATATTTTTTTTCTATGTATCGATACATATACATACCCCGTCACCCTCTTAAAATAACCGCTTAAGTTTGTTTGTTTTTGCTTTTGTTTTTTTGCGATTTCTGGGTTTCTGCCTATATTAAAGCTCCATCCTGTTATGCATCTAATGGCATAACTCCCAGTGCTATGCCCAGAGTAGAAATGGTCTAAGATCCCAAAGGTGACTTAGGCATTATTATCAATCTGACAAATAAATGCTTCTGCCTACACCAAGCGACGAGATATCGGCATCTAGGTTTGCCTTAGGTTTCCTATAGTATCTTACTAGTAGGCAATTTGCTTATATTAAAAAGTAATATTCTCTACGGTCACTCAGGCGTTCAGTTAATGTTTACCTCAGATACATGCCTAATGTTTACCCAGTCGTCACTTTTAGGTGTGTATCACTTCTATCATGATAACGTGCAAAGAAAAAGAAAAAGAACAAATTATTACAGCTGCATAGTGTACCAAGAAGAGAAAAATGCGAGGGAAACAGGATAGAGGATATGCACTTTGAAGGAAATGTTTGGGAAACAGAATAGAAGACGTCTTGTTCTCAGTAACTATGTACTGATGCCTGTAGGATTTGGAGCATTTCTGTGCTGTATGAACAATTGTATTTTTGCATTGTTTAGCACTTCTCTACGGTTGAGGTTGTTTAATGTGAGTAAAATCATTTGTCATAAAACTGGGGGTCATAGAACTTGGGGTGTTAGGAGACAAGTTTCTTAGGTCACATTTTCTTAATTCTTTCATTACTGGAAGGCTGCTGAATACAACTGTTTGGTTTAAGAAAAAAAAACATTGATGAAAATTGTCACTGGAAAGAGGGGTTTCATTATCTGTTATGACTTAGATATTATCATTTTCACAAGCAATGTTGGGAAGTGTTATGTTATAAGCAATTCAGAGCTGCAAACTAGAAGAGAAACGTCAGACAGCAATTTGAAGCTGCATGTTGAACTTAAAACACCTAGGATTTCAGATACAATTATTTATCCAAATTTGATCGTGATCTGCACTGCCACTCAGATGATAATTATCTGATAGATTTGAATCACCAAGAGAATATTGGCACTGGTGAAAATATAAATATATGTATATGTATATATGAATTCATGTATATATATGTATATGTATACGTATATATATATATATATATATATATATATATATATATATATATATATATATATATATATATATATATATATATATATATATATATATATATGTATATATGAATTCATGTATATATATGTATATGTATACGTATATATATATATATATATATATATATATATATATATATATATATATATATATATATATATATATATATGTATGTATGCATACATATATGTATACATATATATACGCATACGTATGTATATATATCAGTGGTTCTCACCCTGTAAACATATAAAGTACATTTTTATTTGTGTGGGATTCATTTCGAACAAATTACAAACAGAAGAACGAAGGGAAGAAAAAGGCATAGTCTAGTGATTTCTTGTTCTTCCTTTCGTTGTTTTATTTGCAATCGTATATTAATGAATGAATAAAGTAGTATATTATTGGGGTATTGAGTCAGGGTGTTGCAGAAGGCTAGGATATATTTTCAATCGCCTGTCTGCAAAAGCTGAGAACTAGTGACACGATATATATATATATATGTGTGTGTGTGTGTGTGTGTGTGTGTGTGTGTGTGTGTGTGTGTGTGTGTGTGTGTGTGTGTGTGTGTGCGTGTGTGTGTGTGTGTACTCCAGCGACGAATCCCGCCCAGAGATCCTTCGCATCCTTGTTCTCGAAAGGACCCAGCACGGTGAAGGACCTCGTTCTCGTCGGCTGGACACGCGCGCACAAACATAATTATCGACTGCTAATTAGAATGAGAACTTTGTATTGTGTTTGTTGAAAGCAGTTTACATCCGGGGAATTATGGAATAATCTTAATAACAGTGATATTAACACCAATATAATGATATGATGGTGTTAATTGTGATGATGTTAACAAGGGTGATATTATTGTTAATGATGATCATAATAATGATAATGATAATTATAACAATAACTATGATAATGGTAATGATAAGGTGATGATGATAATGATAATGATAGGATTATGATAATAATACTATTGTTGATAATATTAACAATAATAATAATAACAATATTATTAATAAAGATAATAACGATACTATTGATAATGCTAATAATAATGATAATGACAATAACAACAGCAACAATAATAATGATAATGATAATAATAATAGTGATAATGATAATAGCAATAATAATAATGATCCTAGTGATGAAAATAATAATAATAATAATAATAATAATAATAATAATAATAAAAATGATGATAATCATCATTAACTTTATCATTATTATCTAATGGTAATGATATTAATAATGATAACAGTAATGACGATAATGATAATAATAATAATAATGATAATAATAGGAATTGTAATGACAATAGTAATAATAATAACAGTAATAATGATAATTATGATACCAAGAACAAAAATAATATAACAATAATAAGGATGATAATGACAATAATAATAATGATGATCATGATCATGTAAAGGAAATGATAATCATCATAATAGAAATAATAATAATAATAATGATTATAATAAAGGTAATGATAATAACCATAGTAGAAGTAAAAATAACAGTGATATTAATGATAATGATGATAATAAAAATAATTATAATTATAATAAGAACAACAACAACAATAGTAATAATAACAACGCTAATAATAAGAAGAAAGAATATCAATAATGATAATAATGATAATGGCAATGATAGTAATAGTAACAATGATAAGAAGAACAATAATGATAATGATGATAATAATAATGATAATAATAATAGCAACAATAACATCAACAATAATGGTAATGATAATCATAATAAATATTATGGTGATGATAGTAGTAGTAATCATAATGGTAATAGTAATAATGATAATAATAATGATAGTAATAATAATAATAATGATGATAATAATAATAATAATAATAATAATAATAATAATAATAATAATGATAATAATAATAATAATAATAATATTAATAATTATTATGATAATAATAATGATATAAGTAATGATAATGATAATAATGACAATAACACCATTGATAATGATAACACAAGTATCAGTAAAAAGAAAAAAAATAAGAAGAATAAGAATAATAGTAATGCTGATATTAATGATAATAATGAGAACAATAATGATGATAATGTTGATGATGATAGAAATGATAATGATAATGATAATAGAAATGATAACATTAATGATGATTATTATTATCATTGTTATTTTTGTTATCTTTATTATCATAGTATCAATATTACTAATAATGTTAATAATGATAATTATCATAATATCAATAATAATAATAACAATAATAATAATAGTTAGTATGCGGACATTGATAATGACAATAGTAACATCAATAAGAACAATAATAATACAGCCTTTCTACTGAAAACTATTAATACTCGGCTTTTGTTCCGGATGTTCCGATCATTGGATACCGCTAAGCCGCCCACCACTGCATAAATTTACGGTATTAGTGAGCATGGTGGTAATTACATTATAGAGTCAGTGATCCGAGATATAACATTCACAGATGTCTGTATGCGTGTCCGGATGTATATGTAAGATGTAGCGGGGGGGAGGGTCTATATACAATATGGTAACTTTAAAATGCATTGCCTAGATTAATTAAAAGCAAAATTGGCATTTCATAACACGTAATAAAGTGAGGACAACAAGTATTCATATGTTTTGAAAATAAGGCTCAATATCCAGTATAAAGGTACGATTGGTTGGCATTACGTGCATTCCTACCTGTGCACTCAGGAAAAGGCCTTTGACCTGCATCATGTCTGCATAGAGGTGTGTGTATATATAGCTCGTTCTACCAGGAGC